ACATCAAGTGTGCATTCCTAAACAGAGAATTAGAAGAAACCGTATATGTTGAGCAACCACCTGGTTTTGTGAACGAGAAGTATCCTAATCACTGCTATATTTTGGACAAGGCAGTTTATGGTTTAAAGCAAGCGCCAAGGGCCTGGTATGAAACTCTAACTCGCTTTCTCAAAATGTCTAAGTTTAAACAAGGTTCGGTTGACCCAACCTTCTTTCGCAAGTAAGAGGGTGACCATTTAATGATCGTCCAAATTTATGTCGATGACATCATCTTCGGCTCTACGAATCCTATCTTAACAGCTGAATTCAGAAAGTTGATGGAGACTAAATTTGAGATGAGTTCCATGGGTCCAATTAACTTTTTCCTTAGACTAAATATAAGACAGGGACCAGAAGGCATTTTCATATATCAGGAAGCTTACACAAAAACCTTACTGACCAAGTTTGGAATGATGGGAGACTCAAGAGTGAATGTTCCAATGGCATTCGGGACGAAGCTAACTCCATCTCTGGAAAAACCGGCTGCTGATATGACTCTCTATCGACAAATGATAGGCTCATTGATGTATCTAACAGTTAGCAGACGAGATATTATGTTTTTCGTTTGTTATTGTGCTAGGTTTCAAGCAAATCCACGTGAACCTCACATGGTGGCTTTCAAGAACATCTTTAGATGCCTGAAGCGAACCTCATCTCTTGGTATATGGTATCCTGCGAAATCGGGGTTCTTCGTTCAAGCATTCTCAGATACAGATCTTGGAGGATGTGGTTTGGATAGAAAAAACACTACTGGCGGATGTCAATTTCTCGATGGCAAACTCGTCAGCTGGCAGTCTAAGAAACAAACATGTGTATCCTTATCCACAGCCGAAGCTAAGTACATCGCTGCAGCATCATGTGCTTCACAGGTTATATGGATTCAAAGTCAATTAAGAGACTACGGCATGAACATGAAATGAATCCCACTTTACTATGACTCTGAAAGTGCAATTCTCATATGTCACAACCCAGTGCAACACTCAAAGACAAAACACATCGCACTGAGGCATCACTTCATCAAGGATCATGTGGAAGATGGTAATGTCGAAATTCATTTCGTTCGATCTGCTGATCAACTAGCTGACATATTCACGAAAGCCTTGCCTGAAGCAACCTTTAATAGAATACTCCAAGGCTTAGGAATGATGGAAGCTGAATCGGTTCCGAAACCACCTTCGCTTACATAAGTATCACTTTCGTTTTCACTCCATAAGTTTTTATCAAGTGAAATAAGGCGAACGTTCGCTCTATTTCGTTCCGCTTTTTTCGGGACACGAAATGGACCGGACTCTCGCTCCAATTCGCTTCACTCATTCTCTATAAGCGAACTCTCGGTTGATTAATCGATTTTCTTGTTGGTTTGGAACTCGTGTATCCTCTCTGTACATTATGTATACTATTTCGTTTAAGCATCTCCTATATTTCTGTTTTTATTTCTTTTTCAGAAAAACAATAATCCAAAAATATTTTACTTTACTTTCTGTTTTTTTAATTCATTCTTTTTCTGGAAAATTCAAAATAACAAAAATATTTTCCTTTGTGTTTAGTTTTATTTCTTTTCTTTTTCACAAAAATTTAAAATATCAAAAATAGATAACAGCGAAACTGGTGACAACACATATCTAGAGTTACTCTAATTCGCTTGATGGGGCAGGTATACACTTATTTATCTATGTATTAGCTACATGTCCCTAGAAGCATGCTGTTGTATGTTTTCTAAAGCCTCAACGACTTTATGTGAAGCCTTAATGATTCGATATATATAAATCGTTTCTTCCCAATCAGGCTATTGCATTCACATTAGTCATGAGCTACCTTACTCTTCTCACATTGAGTTAAGAGTTATCTGCTTGGTCACTTTCGCATAGCAGAGGTACTCACGTTTCTTATACCACCTCAACACTCTTCTCCATCAACTTCATTTCATAAATGTGACCCTTGAGACTCTCAGCATTTACCACCGAGGTTTACGGTCATACAACATCTGTGTTGATGATATTAGTTTCGTTTACCACGTACTAAGTGAGACCCAAAATCCAATACCACAATGAATTGACGGTGAATCATTGAAAGTTCTAGTTTTTCACCCACGGATTAACGAAAGCCATTATGGTTGGTACCACTAAATCTCTTTTATTTTTGCGAGATCTTTATGGAATGTTCTGAAACTAAGACATTTCTTCCCAAAAGATCCAGTTTTGTTTTTGTTTTTGAGATTTCTAAACGTTTCCCAAGTCACTACAAAATTATCAAACCTACTTGATGTTTATGGCTACACTGGCCACACAAGTACTTCAACCAACTTTCGGACTTATGTCAAGTTTCGTAGTTTGATTGAATCAAAATCCACCCTTATAGCCGTGATTAAAATATGCCTTTCAATGTTTCTTAACAAACATTTGATCGTACTTCAACGCGAAACCACACAGACATTTCTAAGTCTCTCTTGACTTTGAAAGAAGAGATTCGTGCCCGGGATCATCAGTTTCATGTTTCCAATGACATCACTTAAATCCCATAGATATAACTTGTTTTATTTCCTTTTCTTTAGCACACTCTTGCACGAAGATCTTTATGATTTTCCAAAACTCTTGTTCGTGGTTCGCTTCTTAATGCTATGGTGGTCTTGTATTTCATAAGGCAAAAGGTGCTCAACTTTTAATTGGAATATGAAGCGTTAGGGCAAATATGAAGAGGTGGAGTAATGGATAAGATTTCAAATCCAAAGGCGCGTGAATTTGAAATGGCTCCTATCCTCACGCCGCCTAACACCTTTTTCGGAGTAACAACTGTCACATCGCGCTTTTTCAGGCGTCTTTTCAGAAAAAATCACGCAATCGTCATCACAGATCCTTCTCTTTCTTGGTAAATCGTATAAATGGCTTTCATAAATCCCTTATTTGTCTTTACCACTCTCAATACTCTCAAGAACCCTAAAAGGCGATTTCTCTCTTAGTGTTCATCTTCTCCAAGCACCTGCAACAATGGCCGATTCATCCTTTGTTCAAGAACACACTGCTCAGTCTTCTTTTCTTACCATAAAGCCCAACCAGAACTTGATCCTCGACTTGGCTCCATTCAAATATGACGCGTTCATGCTTCCCATTGTCGTGTGCTTGAAGTATACACCTTTGGTTAATGCCTTAACCAGAACTTGATCCTCGACTTGGCTCCATTCAAATATGACGCGTTCATGCTTCCCATTGTCGTGTGCTTGAAGTATACACCTTTGGTTAATGCCTTAACCAAGGTCGAATGTGTTCCGATGTCACTGTTGTCGAAGGCCTTCTCATCTGCTAAGTATGTCAAGGAGGAGGAAAATATCATCTTTGAAGTTCTTGATAAGAAACACTCGGTCTCAAAGTCTAGGTTTTGCTCTCTTCTAGGGCTAACCTATGTCGACTCAATGGTGAATCCAGAGTCCATCTCCACTGCTCAAATCTTCGAGATGTTTTATCACATGGGGTATACTGAAATTCTCACCACAATCACCAAGTTCAAGAAATCTTCTCTCCTACCCCAATGGAGTGGTTTGTTTACTCTACTCTTCAAATCATTTTCTGAGAGAGTAACTGGGTCGGACTATGCTAGCAAATTGTTTATGACAATCCTTTATGGCCTCTACCATGGGATTAACCTTGATTACAACTCAGTGATGTGGGTTCAATTGGTGCAGAGTATGAATTCCTCGTCTCGACACAACGAGATCTCTTGCGGACGTTTCTGGACGATAGTAGTGCAGAGGGTAATTGACAAGTTCAATATTCCAGTGATGGCGGACTCCTTAATGTCGTCGATAGCCACTTTCCACACTATGAAGATTATCATCGCTGATAATTCGAAGTTCTTATTTGTGGGGTCTATTCCAGATACTATGTTCAGATGTGTTTCTAGGGCTAGCAAAATTATCACTGAGTACAAGAAACAACCTGTTTTAGGTCCTAGGGAGCTTATTTCTGAGATGCAACGCTCCTTAGATGAAGCTGATAAACCCAAAAAGGGAGGCAAGAAGGGAGATAAGAAGAAAGGGGTTCAAGAAGGTCAATCTTCTCAAGCTCCAACTCCTAAGAAGCGAAAGACTCAAGGTGCAGCTCCATCGGCTCCAAAGAAACGAAAGCTCAGAAAGATGATACTAAAGCCCAGCTCATCTTCCACAAGCGACACTGAGTATGTTCCTTCTAATCCAGCTAAAGGAGAATCAAGCGAAAGCGAAGGTTCTCAATCTGATGGTTCGCTTCGTAGTGATTCGCCTCCACCTTCTCCAAATCAAGAGGTGCCTTTAAACGATTATGTTCCAACTCCACCTCCCTATCCTACTCAAACTACTATTCCTATTACCATCGCTCCTTGCCCACCACCAGTTTCATCTCAATAACCACCTGTTATTTCTATAACACCCACCTCTACTACCCAGCCGCCAACCATCTACACTGAAACCACTACAACAACCACCACAAAGAGAACCTCTCGTCAATGTCAACGCATCTGATGCGGTGGCAATGACTTCAAGTTTTGTCACTACCTCAATCCCACCTGTTGTTTCGGTCAACGTATCTGATACGAGGGCTCAAACTTCAGGTTTCTCCACTCATGTTTCACCTCCCGTTTCCCCTATTAATCGTAATGACCCATAAATGGTCTTTTGTGATGACGACGATGAAGATCTTGGTGGTTTTACTTACAATCCCTTCTAAATCCGGACTGAGAATGAAGAAGATGTGCAAGTCACGAAAGGGCAAATCCAGTCCCTCCATGAAAAGATTGACCAATTGCTTCTCTCTAACAAAGCTTTTTCTACCGATGCATACGCCAAAGCAGCTGTTGAGTCTCTCTTTGAGCGAATCATGAAGCAACACTCCGCTACTGTTGAAACCTCGAATAAAGCTGTCGCCGATTCTGCTGAGTTTTGCAAGTCAACGACCGAAAAAGTCGATAAACTAATTGAAGACACTAACTCTTTCATGGAGAACTTCCAAACCACTTTTAATTCCAACACCACATCAGCAAACGAAGCATTGAAGAGTTTGGGTTCGCTCTTCAAGACTGAGAAGACGAAAATCGAAGAGATTCGTACTGGTCTTAAAACTGACCATGCATCGTTCCAAGCTACTATCTCGTCTCAGCTTTCTCAGCTTAAAGACGAACTGGTGAAGGAGAGTAACCTAAAGGACTCTCTCGCTTTTAAGTCCGAAGAAGCCAAGGTGTTAAGCACCAATCTTGAAGCTTCAGAGAAACAGGTCCATGATCTGTTATCTGAGAGGGCAGTCATGCGCATATATATAACTGATGTTACTGGCATGCTCTCGGATATCATAGAGACCAGGGACTCCATGATCACCATCACCATGCGTAAGCATCTAGCAGACAAATTAAGGACAGTATTCGCCATGCTTCACTGCCTTGAAGGTGTTTCCAATCAAACCTTTAATCCGAAACAAGGGGGAGAAAGTATGGCTGGTGGATCAAGAAAAGAAGGACCTACAGCTCCTGTCAAGCCTATTGTCAAGAACGAACTTAAAGGCAAGGAAAAGCTATGCCGTGATGATCCAATCATTGATAATGAAGATGAAGAGGAGCTTGCTGAAGACGAACTGAAAAGATGAAAATTTCGTGAAACTGAACTGGATGAGCACCAGCGAATCATCCGTGAAGCTGAAGAAAAAGAAAGGGCTGAGAAAGAAGTACAAGCTACTCTTCAGAGCTAAAAGCTCTTGTTCCCCAATTGGTCTCTAATGCGAATGCAGCATGATGTTGTTGATCTTCCAAGCCAGTATTGGTTAAAACCAGTAGTTTCGTTTGATCTTCAGAACACACGAGACTCACAACTGGATCTCCCAATTACTCCAAAAGCTTTCAGATTTTGCTCCTTTGTTAAGGTGGCCAACGCTCCATTCACAGACAGCGGAGATGATCATATGTTGTTTTCATTCTATCTGAAGCATATGAAGCCACAATACGAGACCTGGTCATTGAGCAAAATTATCGGTGTGAAGGTTACAGGGCCGATAGAGACTGATAGCTTTCCAAACGCCAAGTTTAAAGTGGCAAGAGGTTCAGTCAGCCAATGCTATGAGTTTACTCTTGCAGATCTTCCATGCCTTAATCCATATGACTGGTTCACTCTTTACAACATATTGATGAAGGACAAAGAGAAATATGAACCTGTCATGTCTCATCTCAAGCTCATGATAAAATCGTATATTGAGGAGATTGGAGAAATGGATGTTGAAGTGGCTGCTGTTCTGAGAAAGAAGCCTTCGGCTGTTCTTAAGGAAACTCCCAAGGATTTTGAAAAGTTGAAGCTAGGGAAACTTCACAATGGAGATTGGTTTGTGGTTTACTCTTGTAGAATGAACTGGAGCAGACTATCGCAAGGGATGCTTCTATCTTTCTGATAAGCATCTCTGTACCACAAACTTCCTTGAGTTCATTTTGGACCAAGTAAGCAAGTTCAAAGGCAACAAGAAAGATGATATCAAGTGCTTCTCAGACATGGTTCTATGGTACATTGAAGTGCGCCAAGCAATATATGCTATGATTCCAAAGGTGTATGATGTGCAGAAGTGAATCCAAGGCTGAAGGGTTCGGGCCTCAATTGACGCAAATGAGGAGATTGTTGGGTATATTAGATTGCGTCATTGGGCTTTCCATTATGTACACGGTTTGGGCCTGTCCAACCGTATTTTATTATTAGGGTTATAGTATAAATAGTGCATGCATGCAACCGTAGTTGTTAACGTTGGATTGATCTTTTCCTTGTAACCCTAGCACGCCTCTACAATAGCAATTCTTTATAGAGTTCTTCTGAGGTTGTGGTTTTTAATCATTCGACATCTTTGATCCATCTTGTGTTCTTGTTTTACATCTTGTGCTAATACTTTACTTGTTAGAATCAATCGATCTAAGAGGATTTTATTCCCAACAGTTTTGTTAAGCTATAAATCTAAAACTGGTAGGTATATATGTGCACATCAAGTTGCCTTATCTGATTCCTTTGGATGAAATTTATGCAAGATCACTACTAATCTTGTAACCATAACCTCAAATTCATATTTCCTCTTATTTACTCTTTTTATTCTCTCTCAAATGCATAAGACCAAATGCGAATTTACCGAACCATTATGGTTTAAGCCTTATAAAGTTTTCATTTATCTTACATTAGCAACCAAACTTAGAATTTTTGTACTTTTACCCAAGTTCGTCTATTTTATCACATGAACTTCCTTGATGAGACTTATTTATTGAAAACTCTAACTCAATCATGATAAAATATACTAAGGTACTACACATAGATATTCCCAACACTTAGATAAGGCCCACACTTAGGGCCTGTTTGATTTGGGTCTGACCGGGTCTAGTTAGACAAAAATAGATGACTCGGTCAGCTCAATGTAGGTCAGTGTGTTTGATATGTGCCATAAAAACATGAGACTCGGTCAGCACCCTCTGACCCAGTACGTGAGATGAAAGTAGCTGACTCGGTCCTATTTGTTTTCTTTACATTTTTGCCCTTTGCATTACAGATCCATCAACATTCCGCCACCACAAAACCAGTCATATACATGCCCTGTTCACGGATACAAGAACTAGGAAACCCACCACAAACACTGCAACCCTTTTCATCCGTTTAACCCCAACCAAAAAACCGTGCCTTCGTGAGAGAGAAAGAGAGGGAAGCACCCTTTTACCCGTTGATTGAGTCTAGGAGGAATGAAAATTGTGATCAATCGAATAGAACAAGGATAAGAAGAGGGTGGGGGTATTTTGGTAATAATGTTGGATTCCACCATTTTCATCCTTGGAGGAAGCTCCAGACATTTGTTCACGGTGGTTAACTGGTTGTTCTTCCCATCGGAACGAAACAGAAGCTGAGATTTGGAGTGATGGGGTTATCATGGTTGATGATTCAGGAGGCATGGAACTTCCTTGAAAAAGAGCTGTAACTTTTTTTTGGAGATTGGGTCGGATCCTATTCTCTCTCTACAATTTTGAACGAAATGAAAAGAGATGGGAGAATATAGGGTGTATTAATTTATTATTTGAGTTTGTTGCATGTCCATCTACTCATGGTTCTTGACATAATGACAAAGTCCATTTATATTTGGTTATTATTGTTTTTAAAATAAATAAAACTTAGTTTTGTATTCATTACTCAAAACTTTTAATTTTTAAAAAAATAAAACTTAGTTTTGTATTAAACTATTAATTTAATAATGTTCGGCGAAATTAAATTTGTACGAAAACAAATATATTTTAGCCGACACAGATAAAAAAGGGTAAAATGGTCATTTTCCTCATTCAGCATAGATAGTCAGAGAAATAATCAAACAACATAAACCCAGTCCAATATGGTCTCAGTCAGAATTTTTAACTCAGTCAGCTTCTAACTCAGTCAGCTCTAACTCAGTCAGTAATTATCAAACGACCCCTTAGATATACACAATACTTAATTAAGCTCAAGTGACCTACACCAAGCCCTAATATGGCTCCATTTTATATATTTCAATTTTTTATAATTTTCCATTAAGATTGTATCAATCCAAGTATTACTGGTGCTTAAATCTTAATTCTATCTACTTCATAGAATTTGGTAATTACCACATCTAACCAAGGTTTACCCTTACAAACATTTATGGTATTAAGTACATAATAATAATACTAATAATAATAATAATAATAATGCATTTTTCAAAATATCCAACACACCTTAGTTCCATCACAATAAAGTTTCAATCTCACAACATATTAATCATCAATTTGTTAAATCATGATTAAATCATAACATATTAACTCCATCAAGCCTGCCAAAATTTCTATAACAGAATCATATTTCATACAACACATCATGAAAATTCATACTCACATCATATTTCTATTAACTTTAACTACTAATTTAATACATTTTGTCAATCATATTTCTACTAACTTTAGCTACTAATTTAATACATTGAAAATTTCAATGGTTAACCTTTTCTAAAAACAATTTCCTATATATTTAATAAATTTATCCTCATATATCTAAAAAAAATTTAACTGCATTTAATTTTTTTTAAAACACGTCATATTTCAATACAAAATATTTTAATTAAAGTAGGCATTAATATTTAGACAAGTTTGTTAAAATACATCATTCAAATATATATATATATATATATATATATATATATATATATATATATATATATATATATATAGGGTTGAGATCGGTTGAGAACTCAAAGTTTTCCAAGAACCCGAGAACTAAAAGTGGAGCGTTGGATCAAAAGTAATTCGTTCAGGACATGATCGTCATCTTACCAATCTCATTTAATGTTTAATTTTTTTGTGTTATTTAATATATTAATATAAATGTCTAAAAATTAACAAAATAACTCAAAATTTCGGATTTATTTAAAAAAAAAAATAATTTCGATTTTTTTAAAAAATTGAGATCTTTTAATTTTTTTCAAAAAACATGAATTTTTAATAAAAAATGAAAAAAAATATTTTTTAAAAAACTGCATCTTTTTTTTTTAAAAAAAACTACATTTTTTTTTTCAAAAAAAACTGCATTTTTTTTTTAAAAAAATGCATTTTTTCTAGGAAAAAACAGTATTTTTTTTTTCAATAAAACTGCATTTTATTCAAAAAAAATTGTATTTTTTTTTCAAAAAACTACATTTTTCTTTCAGAAAAGCTGCATTTTTTTTTTCAGAAAAACTGCATTTTTTTTCAAAAAAAAAAAAAAAAACTGCTATTTTTATTAAAAAAAAGTGCAATTTTTTTCAAAACTGCAATTTTTTAACAAAAAAATCAACGTTTTAGGTACATATATGCATATTTTTTTTCAAATGCACATATGCATATTTCTTATACTATAATATTCGTAAGTAAATTATAAAAAATCTCATTTTTATTAATCAATCTATAAACATAATACAAGTATTTATTCGATGCAAAATAAAATATAAAAAAATACAAAGATTCACAGTGTTATCATTTCTTCATATCAATATTTCCATATTTTATTCAATTTATCACTTTTCACCTCTTCAATATTTTCCAAAAATTCATCAAAATCTACAGGAAAATAAAAAAAATTGATTAATGCAAGAACACGCACATATATATATCATATAAGATTCACATGTGATTATATAATGTGATTGTATCTTTTAAGATTTAAATGTGAAATTCATAAGAAAATTTAAAAAAATAATTAACGAAGAACACTTACACAAAATGCATGTGTGCATATAGACGTAATTCATATGTGATTTACATGTGAATCACATGTAATTCACTTGTGATTTACATGTGAATCACATGTAATTGATATGTGATTTACTTGTGATTTACATGTGAATTACATGTGATTAATATGTGAATTACATGTGATTTACATGTGAATCACATATAATACATATGTGATTTACATGTGAATCACATGTAATTTATATGTGATTTACATGTGAATCACATGTAATTCATATGTGAATTACATGTGAATTAAATCTAATTCATATATGAATTACATGTGATTCATATGTGAATAACATGTGATTTATATGTGAATAACATGTGAATCACATCTAATTCATATATGATTTACATGTGATTCATATGTGAATAACATGTGATTTACATGTGAATCACATGTAATTCATTTGTGAATAACATGTGAATCACATGTAATTCATATGTGAATTACATGTGTATCACATGTGATTCATATGTGATTTACATGTGAATCACATGTAATTTACTTAATAAGGTTCGAAAAAAAATCAAGAAGAGAAGAAAAAAAGTTACACAAGGGATTTTCTAGAAGGTTGTCATTGTTGGTTCCAACATCAATCATGATAGGAAGAACCTATTACAAAGTACAAGTCTTTGTTCCAACATCAATCATGATAAAAAAAATTCAAAAAATAAATTATATTGAAAAAAGTACGGATTCAAGGTAAAAACCAGACGTACCTCTACCACCATTCATGATCCTCAGCAGCAAGTTGGAAGTAAGTCAAAGCAACGATGATGAAGGTAGTGACAATCAAGAGAAAGATGAAAACAATAAATAAGATGCTGTAAATGGTGTAAATTCTGTGGCCCCACACATTGGCGAAGATGTACTAAAGCTCAATGTAGATTGCACTGAAAGGGAGAAAGCCAGCCATGGCCATTTGAGGGATGGTTTTTCTGTACCATGGAAGAGGTGGAATCTCTCTGGGGTACTTTGTGGTGCGAACAGGAGCTTAGAATTCAACTTTGCTATTTTTTCCAGCAATACCCCCGAGAACCAGTAAAGGTGATGTCACCAAACTCCATATTAAAACAATCACTACAATTGTCCCAAAAGGTAGTGCAGCTGTGGTTGTGTATGCGATTGCAACCGTGTTTAGGAAGCAGAAGGTAAGAAAGAGGGGCCTACAAAAGAGGCATTCGATTAATAACAGGTTTCTCACCTGTTGATGAATGAGATTGAGATATGTTAGATTTGAAACTGTGTGGTGAAGAAAAGGGTATATTGGTAAATTTGTATCATACCCAGTTGCTTCCTTCTAGCTGGTGGTAGAAAGAGGATGCAGTGTAGCCTGCAATCCCAGAAGTAAGAGCATATATAACAACCAATGCAGTGAATAGAGCTCCTCGATTATATGGATAAAATACACCCACAAGTGCGAGTATGAAGATAAAAAGTGTTCTGATTTTTAAAAAAAAGTTATCAATATTAAGAATTAAATATTGTACTAAAATGTGGAATAATTAGTTTACTTACAGAGCAAATAGCTGGGTCCCAGAACCAAAGGCAGTAGCAAACAAAGACTTGTACTTTGGATACCTAAACAAAGACATGAATGTCTCTTGTAATTAAATTTCCCCACACCTGCACTGCACTGACATGAGAAGATTCTGCGTTAAGTAAATTGTGGTGAGAATTGACACAATAATTGTTAAAAAACTACAATAACAAGTGACAGCATAAAAGAACCATAAATTCTACCATTAATAAGAGCCAAGAAACTGGCATGTAGGGGTAAAATATAAACAATGTAGAAATTCTAAAGTTTGTAAGCAAGAACAGGTATCTGGAAGCGCATCTGAAAACTCAGGCAATAAAAGTTTAACTAACTTAAGAAGTTTACCATATACAATTCATGAAAAAGAGCCAGAAGAACGCAAACCAAACAATAAAAATATCAGCAAACTGTTGTTTCTTGTTATTCCCAGTGTTCCTCTCATGCTACAGTCAACAATATAAAATCCTTGCACTCTCAAAATTTTGATGTTTCCAATAATGTTGTTCCTAGTATTGTCAAAGTGGAGCATCCAGCATGGGACATTTCCAAAAATCACGTGAATTGTAATGATTTGGTATTCCCTATGACTGTTAACATAGGCTTTTCATTGGACTATTCTCTACCCTCGGGTTTTAATCCTTCATAAACACACGTCCTTTGGAAGAAGAAAATGTTGTTTCTGGGAGTAATGTGAATCATGCTATTATTACTCCAATACAGTCAACCGAGAATGAGAATCTTAATTTATCACTTGTCATTGTGGCCTCTCTAGAAAATGAAGTTCATCAAAGTGGAAGTAGTTTTGAAGAAGATAAAACTAAGGTCAAAAGATTAATTAGTGAATTCTTTAAGATTGGTGATTTGGTGAGAGATATTGTCGATTCTAGGGTTTCTGCTATGATTTTTTGTGTAATCACCGCCTGTTGAACAGCGTATTCGACTCATTCAACGGCAGAATCACCGGCAAATGGTTTGACTTTCTCCAATACGCCGAAATCAGCCACGGATGAAGACGAATCGGGTGATATGTTCGATTTGTTTTCCGATGAATCCTCCATATTTCGCCGGAGATCCGAGTAACAGTATACAATGATAATCAGGAGTTGCAATGACAAAAAGCTAAAGGATCTGTTGAATCGCAAACGAGATAATTCGAGGAGGGATTAGACTTACCAGTTGACGAATACAGAAACAAAATAGCGATAATGACGAAAGCATTGCGAGAAGATGATGGAGAAATTTTCCGAAGCTTCTTCTTCACTTCTTCAGGGATTAGACGATTGAGATGACATGAAGGGAATATAATCGATCTGTCGATCCAAATCACACTGTCGGTCTGTTGTTTCTTCGATTCATCATCGACGAGCTGGACATTAGGAAGTGTTCATGGCTGGAGGTGGGATGAAGGTAGGAGAGAGGCGAGATGATGAGATAGAGAGAGAACGGGGGAAGGGGAAGGGTGTGACATTAGGTTATCTCTAAAATGCCCCCAATTCATGTGAAGTAAGATGCCCCCGCCTTTTTTTCCCCTAGTTATTTACAAAATGCTATATATATATATTATATATATATATATATATATATATATATATATATATATATATATATATATATATATATATAATACGAGAAATTTGAAGATGCATTTTAAAACCTACAAGCCTTATTTTTTTTATTCATTTTACAAAATTTGATAATACACAAGTTCTTCACCAGTTATGACTTTCTTAGTTTAGGTTAAAACCCAAAAGTTGCTCGATGGTTTCGTCAAACACGATTGGAAATGAAAAACAATATGAGATATGTGATTATATATAAAATATATTATAGGTAGAGGATGAATTCTTTCTTCGTAGCATATATAATCATTTTTATAGACATTGAATGCCACAAAATAAAAATTCACATTTTTTACATATAAAATAAAAACTTATATTATGTTTATAGTTATAAAAATAAAAAATATATTATAAATGTTTTATAATCGCTTGAAATTTAATATTTCATAAATATAATATTAATAATCTTTAATAAAATAAAATAACTAATAAATAATTACAAGTATATAAAATTTAAAATTTAAATTTAATTAAAACATAAAATAAAGTACTATTAAATGAGAAAACATTAGATTTTTTTTTGAAACGGAAATGATTCAGCAGTAGCCTACTCACATATTTCAACGATCACCCCGGGTTCGAGCTCTTTTACTATTAATTGAGAAAACGTTAGATATTTAAAAATAGTCAATATGTATGGAATGGAAAAAAAAAGTATCCATTTCAAGGATTCCAATATTTCTATGGGTTTTATATACCTAAACTTTTTATATTTATATTATTTTTAGAGTAAATTACACGATTCGTCCCTCGTTCAAATGTAAAATTATACGTTTAGTCCCTATTTTTAAAACTTGTAATGTTTTTTTTTACTAGGACCGTCACTTACGAACATAAAAATTATACGTTTAGTCCCTATTTTTAAAACTTGTAATGTTTTTTTTTACTAGGACCGTCACTTACGAACATAAAATGACTATTTTACCCTTTCTTTTTCTTTTTTATTTGTTTTTATTAATAATTCAAAAGAAAAATAAAAATTAGGTAAAAATAAAAATGGGCCCACCGCCACAAACACTTATCCTCTGCCCTAACCCACCCACACCCTTCAACCCTTCAGTTTATCTTCTTCAGTACATCATCAAGATCAGTCACCGGAGCAACCACCGTCGTCGCATCTTCGTCGTCGTCTCCACCTGCACATTGTTGCAAGGTCTCACTTCTCCGTTCGACAATTGCTGCATACGCTGCCATCGCCACACCATCGAGAGTTTATAGATCTACATTTCGATGTTTTTTGGTTGTTGGTGGTGGTGCCATAAAAACGTATCTGCACTCCGGATGTAACTCTCTCTCACCCACTCCCGGCAACCATCAGAATCACCTGACTGCCACCACCTACTAAACCTCATCTACCAATTGGAACCATTGTCTCCTCCGGCAAAAGTTTTACGAACAGTTGTGTTTCCAGATCTTCGGTTCGTGTTTCCAGATCTATGCTTCCGATCATCGATGTTGTTTCAGATCTATATGACCACTACATCAGATTTAGGGGTTCGAGGGGAGATGGAGGATGTCTGACTTTTCTCTGCAAACTATCGAGAGTCACAAGTCCAACAGAAGTGGGGGTGACAGTGATTACATTTGATGTAGGGTTTTTTTCCATTTGGGTCTTCATGGAAAAAAGGGTGGTCGGAAGTGATAGGTGATGATTGGGATGGTGGTAGAAGTTCTGACCTTGGTGGATGTGTTGGAGTGGCCGGAAACCGTGGACATGTTGGATTCGTCGGAAAAGTGGAAATGTTGGGGTCGCCGGAAAAAATGGAGGTGTTCACCTGGTGGTAGAGAAAGATAATATTGGAGAGAGGGAAAGTAGGGAAAATGTAAATATAAGCAACGTGGGACCCACCATTTTATTAAAATATTTTTTAATAATTAAAAATATTCAGAAATATAAATAATAAATGAAAAAGAAATAGAAAAGGGTAATTTAATCATTTTATGTCTATAAGGGATGAAACTTGCATTTACTATATATATATATATATATATATATATATATAGGGATTGAACGCGTCATTTGGCACCTACACGAGGGACGATTCGTGTAATTTACTCAGCATTTACTATATATATATATATATATATATATATATATATATAAAGCCTTCATAACTAAAAAAAAATAAAATTCTATTGCTACGACCATCACCCCTACCGCCCTACGACATATTTAACATGACCCCATAATGATTTGAATTTATCATCTTCATTAACATTATCTATAATAACTACACGTAAAGGCTAAAATGGTAAAGCAAAATATCTATAATAACCTAATTCTGATATAAAGTATTTAAAAATCTATAATAATTTAATGCAAATATAATTATGATTGTGTACTTTCTAACTCATGAGGATATAACAAGTTGAAGAATCATTGTTAGATGCATAATTGTATTGTAGAATGAGGTTTGAATGCAATCTTAATTTTTTTTAATTCTTATTAAAAAAAATAATAAAAAATTGAAAATAATTTGTTCAATTAGTAAATCTTTTAAATTATAGACTTTTTTCTAAACCAGAAAAAAACTCACAATAAAATTTAAAATCTCAAATATTGAAAGTAATTTGTTTGGTAATTTTGATCTATCTTTAGATAGAATATAAAACTAACTCACAAACATTGAAAAAAATAGTCGAATTTTAAAAATGCCAACAACCATAAACCCTATATATAAACAAACATTTGAAAAATAAATTGATAATTTTAAAAATAATAAATAATTACAAAATAAGAACGAAAAAAAAATACTGCCTTTAATAACATTCATTTGAAAATAAAAATACTGCCTTTACAAAATTATACGGTGGTGACCTCCGGCAGTTTGTCTCGTCATTTCCTCTTTGGCTCTATCATTGGTTCATTGTTCACACGCAGCCACTGCTCACTCCCTTACGTGTTTTCATCCTTCACGAACACTATAAATTGCCTCCAAGGTTCGAGCATTCATGATTCATCTCTAGCTTCTTTTACCAAAGAATCATCGTCTGATCTTGGTCTTGGCCCATTAATTTCTTATTCTGCAAACGCATTTAATGGAGAATCGGGAAAGATCATTCCCAGGACCTTCACTAAACGACCCGCAGAATGAACCTGAAGAAATACACCTCCCCAGAAAATATACTGATCAGTTTCCGTCATACACCACTCCTATGACGGATTCCGGTGATCACCGGAAACAACCAGGGAAGGAAACTTACAGTACTGCAACTACCGACACTTCTGCTGTACAAACAGAGCTATACAACTCCGCCGTTGACCTTGAAAATCCTAACAAGGTATGGAAGGATGTCAATTATGATTTTACAAGTGATGGATATAAATATGATCCCAAGACCCACCGTACACCATCGTCAATCCCTGAAAGTCCCAATAACTACGGCCAACTCACCCCCAAGGAGGTAAGGATTTCCTTCAACGACGAGGTGATGCCAACACCAAACCGGCGGCGGTCAAATGTTAGTGGTGGCGGTGGTGGGGAAGAGGTACTGGTTTGCTCCTCAAATGCTGCATATAAACGAAATTCGACCTTGATGAGGACGAAGACAAAGTCAAGGTTGATGGATGAGCCGGAGATGAAGACATCCAAATCTGGAAATTATCAAGGGAGAGGTGGTAGTGGTGGTGGTGGTGGTAGTGGTGATATGGAAGAGGATGATTTCCCTTTCAACGACGATGATATTCCAGACGAGTACAAGAACTTAAGGTATAGCAAATGGACTTTATTTCAATTAGCGAGTTTGATACTAATCATTGGTGTTTTAGTTTGTACACTCGCTATACCAAGTTTCAGAAACAAAAGCTTATATGATCTTGAATGGTGGAAATGGGAGATTATGATATTCGTTGTGATCTGTGGGAAATTAGTTTCAGGGTGGGGGGTTAGGATCTTAGTGTTCTTCATAGAACGAAGCTTCTTATTGCGAAAACAAGTTCTTTATTTCGTATATGGGTTAAAAAAAGCAGTTCAAAATTGCATTTGGTTATGTTTGGTTTTGATTGCTTGGCAATGCATATTCAACAAGAAAGTTGAAAGGACGACATATGGGAAGACGGTTTTGCCTTATGTGACCAAGATTTGGATTTGTCTTTTGGTAGGGACAGTTGTTTGGTTATTGAAAACTTTGTTGATCAAAGTTCTTGCTTCATCTTTCCATGTGAGCAAGTTTTTTGATCGGATCCAAGATTCTTTATTTAACCAATACTTGATCGAAACCCTCACTGGCCCACCTGTGATTGAGATTCAACAAGAACAAGAAGTGGAAGAGGAAGATTGGGGGATTGATGATGTTGATAAGCTTAAGGAAGATGTCTTTAAGGGTTGGAGAGCTATTGGAACTCCAAGATCCAGTAATTCCACGGCTGGTAAAAATGAAGGGATCACAATTGATCACTTGCATAGGCTAAATCAGAGGAATATATCTGCTTGGAATATGAACAGGATGATGAATGTTATAAACACAAGTTTGTTAACAACTTTAGATGAACACTTAGAAGATATAAGTGATGATGAAGATGAAGCTGCTGTGCAGATAACTAGTGAAAACCAGGCTAAGGTTGCAGCCAAGAAGATCTTTTTCAATGTGTCAAAGCCAGGCTCTACGTGAGTTTTCAATTCTTTGTTGTTTGAAATCTTCACATTGGATTAATTCGTTTGTTCATTTGTTTCCTTTGACATGCAGACACATTTATCTAGAGGATTTGGGGAGATTTTTGCCAGATGATGAAGCTTTGAAGACAATCCGACTGTTTGATGACGTAAATGAAGAACAAGGAATCAGCAAACGAGCTCTCAAAAGTTGGGTGGTATGTGTGTTCTTCTCGTGCCTCCTTCATTTTGTTCTTGTTAGTTACATATGTTACGAATGATATGTTTATATATGTGATTAAGAGTTCATTCGAGTATAATTTCATACCAAAACTCTGTTTTCTCAGGTTAATGTATTCCGAGAGCGTAGAGTTCTTGCACTATCTCTCAATGACACAAAAACAGCTGTGGACAAACTCCATCAGATGATGAATGTGGCTGTGGGAATCATAATACTCGTGATTTGGCTTCTTATACTTAGAGTTGCAACCACCCAGTTCTTTATATTCCTAAGTTCACAGCTAGTGTTGGTCGCCTTTGTGTTTGGAAACACATGCAAGATGTTGTTCGAGGCCATTATTTTCTTGTTTATAGTGCATCCGTTTGATGTCGGTGATCGTTGCGAAATTGATGGTGTTCAGGTCAGATTTCAAAACCTTAAAACATGCATTTGGTTTATAATTCCGGGTTTTAAATTGTAATCTTTGAGGGTCTTATTGAGTGCAGATGGTAGTTGAAGAGATGAATATATTAACAACCATCTTCTTGAGGTATGATAATCAGAAAATAACATATCCCAACAGCGTCCTATCTACAATGCCAATTGCTAATTATCATCGTAGTCCGGACATGGGTGATGCAATCGACTTCTGCATCCATGTGTCAACTCAAGCTGAAAAGATTGCTAAAATGAAGGAAAGGATTACATGGTAAGTAAAGTTTCTTCTCAGATCAATTTGGACAAACTTTCTAAGACTATTTTCGATGATGTGGATGAAAAGGACATTCACTTTCTTTTCTTCTTTTGCAAAGACGAGAGATCTATAGCGAGTCTCACACTCACCTAATTCCACCTTTTGGTTGGGACAAAATATGTTGCAATTTTTGTCCCTTAAGAGTTGAATGTATACCAAACTCAAATGCAATATAACCTGTTACGTCAAGTCCTGTCCTATAGAACATACGTGGCCTTAATGCTAAGGTAAAACTATGGTTGCAGCTATGTCGAGAAGAAGAGCGACCATTGGCAGCCTGCACCGATGATCGTGCTAAGGGATGTTGAGGACATGAATCGGCTCAAGATATCCATATGGCTTGCACACCGAATGAACTTCCAAGACATGGGTGAAAGATGGAAAAGAAGAGCTCTTCTAGTTGAGGAGATGATCAAGATTTTCAAGGATCTCGACATTGAGTACCGCATGCTCCCACTTGATGTTAATGTCCGCAATATAACCGCCGTGACTTCAAATCGAGTTCCCTCAAATTGGACAGCTTGTGAAAATTGATCCATGAGGGAGAATCATATATGTATACTCGTATAAATCCCTTGTTATTGTGAATAAACTACGGATTGTTGACTATTCCAGTTTACGATCAACTCTTGTCACCTTTAAAGGTTGTAAGATCGATGTAACATTCATATCGATACATGATAAGCAAAGTCCTGCTAAATCTATTTTCTAGTGTTATAGGTGTAATCATCATGGTTTTATTGCAAGTCGAAGGTCACGTAGGGTGGTATACTTATAGAAACGGTTGAGGGTTCAAGTATCTACAAACATAACGTGAGAGTTCTCAATTTCAATGTAAATTGGATTCCGTGAGCACTAAGTTCTTATGTTGATCACCAACCCTCAACCTCATCACCCTACCTAAAAATAGGTTATTCAGCAACCCTCAAGGCCTCATCACCCTGCGTAAAAATAGGTTATTTAGCCTGCAACTCTCAACTAACCTTAGCATTAACTGATTTTTATCTCACATAAGGCAGGGTGATGTGGGCCAACTAAGGGTTGATGAATAACTTTTTTTTTAGGAACATAACACTTGTTAATCCCACAATTCCTACCTCACGAATCAAGTGGTAAAAAACTTGTAACCTTTTGGGATTAATTGGCCGGTGAATGAAACTTACCTAAACCAGGAACACACCATGTGCAAGAATCATGCTTCACAAATTCGTGGTAATTCCCGTTTTCCATTCGGGGGCACATGCACACACAAAAACAAACACGCCATAATGTATACACGCATGCATGCCTTGTTTACATTGTGAGACGCCAATGAGTATAAGTAGTCGTAGTGTTAAAGATGTGAAAGGAGGGCACTTTAATTTGCAGTGATAGCAGTCTATGAACATGAGAAGATGAGATTTGTTGTTCATGTGGCATATCTTGAAAGGGCTTCGTTTGTAAGATTACTGGAACGAGCTGCTGAAGAGTTTGGGTTTAATTATGAAGGTGTGGGTGTTGATACCGTGCAGGCCGAGTGATCAGCTTCAAAGACTGTTGTTGAGCAAGAGGCGGAAGAAAATTTATGTTAATAGAATTAAACGTAACTATTTTAGTTTTTCTTTTTAGATGTGCTAGCACACATTTCCTAAATCTTACATATAAACTATACCTTTTGTCCACAACAAAATTTGAACCCTGGATCCTTTAGAAAAGACACACATTTGTAAACGTACATTTAATAATGCTAAGTCGGTGACCTTTAAAGAACTATTTTAGTATCAAACCAGTTATTATTAATTGTGTTGTATACATCTTTATACACAAACCCAATAAGGGTCATAATGGGTTCTTAGATAGTACTTTTTTTTGTTGTCGAAATATGATTTAATTTGGCCTCATGACCTTTAAGTTGATTATTACTTTGAGCCGTTGCTAAACTTTACATGCTTTGAACATCAACATTTGGTAATATGTTAGTAATTACCCACAAGATTTTTTAAGGATCATAATGTACACTAAAGTCATCACAGCATCAATAAGATTTGTCTTTCAAGTATGTCATATCATATTTTATCTCTGTCATATCACATTTTTTAAGATTTGTCTTTTCACGTGTGTCATATCATATTTTGCAATTATCATCCATACCAATACAATAAAATTCCATACCAATACAATAAAAACACTCTATAAAGAGTGGACTCTTTTAACCCATCTAACAACTATTTTACATATTTTAACAAATACTTTTATTATATTATTAATAAATATTAATCCAATATATCATACTTTATTTAAGAAATTTATTTTCCAAAACTATCTAGTAATTGTTAATATAAGATATATTTTGCATTAACTGTGAACACAAAAAAGTATTATGTGATCAAAATTACAACGGAAAAAGTTGGATGATATTGAATATGAACTTGCGAAAAGTATAAGGCTTACGAAAGTGAGGTTCGGATGGTGGAGTGATGGGGGCGTTATGGATGTGAACACCACCAAGTGGTTGTGGTTGGTTGTGGTGAGAACCATGCTTGACCACTCTATTCTTTGTCTATCTCATCTTCTTCCCCTCTCTCTCTTTTAAATGTACAAGATATTAAGCATAATAATGTGATGTGGAGTGGTAACTATTTCCTAGGTGTGTGATGAGAAAATGGTAATAATGTGACGATTAAGTGACAACACATTTGGAATGGTCTAGTGGTGGCCACTCATGATAGTCTAATATCTAGAATTATTATGAACTTGCGAATAGAATAATATCTTTATTATATATAATTTTTATTCAATAAAATTGAGTATGATTGTCAATATTGTTGTTTAGATTTGAATTTTCTTTACATGTATTAATAAAAATATGAGAGAAATTAAATAAGAAAAGAAAAATTAAGGTTTAAAGGATGTGGGAGAATAAGGACTAATGATGGGTCTACCACTAACACTAGTATATGGCAAGTCTTTCAGAAAGACATAAATTATGTGGTACAAATGCTTATGGCAACTTGATAGGCATGCCAAGTGCATTGTCTATGTATCGACTTGACGGTTAGGTGGTGATTTTAATCAGATATGTGAGGATTTACCTAACACATGTTAATTTTTAGACAAATTTTCATAAACGGTATCTGTGGTTTTTAAAAAGTGGCATTTTCATAATATTTTTGGAAAGAGCCACACGGTTGTTTCATTTTGTTACATTGTTGGTCATTCAATTCGGTAGTTAAAATTAACTTTTATCTTGTTTTTTAAACGATTAATCTACAATTAGACCAAATAAAAAAAATTAAATATACAACATAGACCATTTATGTAGTTTACTCTTAATATAAAAATTCAAACCCTAGATTAACCTCACGTACAACCTCTCATTTCTCACATTGCAACTCTATCCCCCACTAATATCTCATGTCTATATGTGGTTGCCCTACATAGCTAGCTACCATCGACACCCCTCATTAACCACCACCTCCGCCTCCTATCACTACCGCCTTTGCCTCGTCCATCATCGCCTTCATCTCCTCCTCCTTCCCTGTCTTCCTCTCACTATACTCCCACCTCCCATGCACCTATTAACATCTCCTCCTCTCACTATACTCCCACCTCCCATGCACCTATTAACATCTCCAACCAGATAAAAGCTACTAATTGTTCCTTTTGGTTTTACTTTCACTTCTTCACATCAGATGTGAAATCTTCTTCAAGGAAAACCAACAAAATACTCATGGATGAAAACTAAGGCTTTTTTTCTTGTTCTTTGGGAATGGGGTGCCGCTTAGGCCTGACAATCAAGTTGGTTTCAGATTGGCGGGTCACAGGTTGGCGGGTCATAAAACATAAACTCAACCCAAACCATATAATATATGGGTTGGCGGGTTGACGGGTTATGGGTTGGAAACATCAATCCATCTCAACCCATATAACCCGTTTAAGTATATAGGTTCGCGGGTTCACAAGTAAATGGGTCGAACCCAACCCATATAACCTGTTTGAAAAATAAGCAAAGCATTTTTAAAAATGACGTTTTTTCAACATAAAATCATAAGTGATTAAACTAATTAACATAAAAAAAGAAGTTTTCAACATAAGTTCATAAAGTCATTAACATCCAAATAAAATTGAAAAATGAAAACATTCATACAAAGTGGATGCATTCTTTGTTCGTGACTCGTGACTTGTGAATATCTAAATATGACATGTTTTTTTTTCTTTTTTGATTAAGTCACCGCAAACGGGGACTAACCACATACGAATACGGAAGAAAATCAGATTTCACTAATATTTAAATATATCTATTTTTTATAAATGTAATATATATATATATATATATATATATATATATATATATATATATATATATATATATATATATATATATATATATACGGGTTGTCAGGTTGATGGGTTGGCGGGTCAAAAATCTCAACCCAAACTCGTCTATTTTCGGGTTGGGTCAGTGTCGAGTTACGGGTTGGGTCGAAAGTTGCCACCCCTAGTGCCGCTGTCGGAGACGATTTTTGTTCTTGCTAGCAGAACACAATTAAGAGCAACCAAATGTTAGATATTTCACTTTACATATGAGTCATCGTAGAAATTTGCCTCTGTTGGGTCATATTGGAGATTGAAGAATTGGCGTTAGTGGAGTAAACACCGAACCCACCAAAGAAGATGAAACCTCAAACTCATCTCCATCTCCTTCACTTACATCTCCCTCTCTCTTCACCTCTAAAACCAAAATTACAAATATATATATATATATATATATATATATATATATATATATATATATATATATATATTAGCAACAAGATTCAATCAACAATACCAAAATACTCATTTTAAAACCTGGAATGAAAATTTTGATTGCTCATTTAAATCTTCATTTGTAACACCGAAATTTTCAAACCAAAATTTTTCATTTTAAACATAAAAATCACATGTCATATTTCCCGAAAATCTCAAGTATCAACATTATTACAATTTATTTATAAAAAGTTGTTTATCACATAAACCATGATCCTTCAAAATATATCTCCAAATGCGAGTGTGTGTACAATCAAGCCGGGGCCTTCCCGCGATCATCGGAAGTACCTGAAACACATAACACATAACACGGTAAGCGCAAAGCTTAGTGAGTTCCCCAAAATACCGCATACAGCTCATTAGCCACTCTAGGCTATAACTCGATAAGACCCTCCGGTCAATGTGTCTCAGTGGGACCCTCCGGTCCCAACTCAGTAAGCTCATAATAACAATACTCAGCATAAAACACAAAGACATCATGCAGGATATCAAATACACAGATAAACACAATAAACAGCTCAATCACACAAGGTACCACTCAAGGCAAGTATAGTGAGAAGACTCACCTTGCAAGAAGTCAGCAAATCTCGAACTCAAATCACCGGTCTAGCCTCCGCCTAGCATACACGACAATTATCCCTAATTAATCACGACTCTCAAGAGGCTACACTAACTCACAGAAGGGAAAAAGACAATTTTACCCCTCAATAGCCCTAAATGTCCATAAATTGACCAAACCCTAAAAGTCAACAAAAGTCAACGGCAGGGAGTACGCCGCGCGTACCATCTCCTTACGTTGGGCGTACTCAGCTGCCATGCAGACATCGGGGATGCGCGACCCCTACGCTGCGTGTACTGGAATTACGCCCGACGTACACTCCAGTTTCATCCTTCTCACTTGTTTGGTCTTAAACGGTTAAGACCTTGGCTCATATTTC